CGGACACCTCCCTCTGCCGCAAAACACCCCCCCCCCGTCCCCAGCTGGGACTTGGGAGCAGTGTTCCCTCTAAGCTGAGTCAGTGTGAACTAGCTCACAGTTTTTTGGCCTCCGGCTCACACATTTTTGTCTTAGCTCAGGAAGGGATGGCACCAGAGCAAACTAATTTATGCAGCAGCCATATCACTTGCTTACAACTTGAATGCCAGGAGCTCACAAAGTAAAATTTTTGCTCACAAGACTTCACAGCTTAGAGGGGAAATTGCTTGGGAGCTCCCTTCAGTGTGTGCCTCGCTGATGTGTTCTTTTGACTGGTGGGGGGGTGCCTGGCCTTTCCCTCCCCCCTCCAGCCTGCCTAGCAGACTCTTCACCCTCCTTCCCACTAGAGGCCACAACGAACACAGACACCCGTGTCTTCTCGACTCAGACGCAAGCCAGCGGTTAGGGTGAGAGGGCAACGCTTCGGGACACTGCGCCGAGTGCTCCATTTCCTCCAGGGGCACACAGACGGCTGGTGGCTCAGCAGTTGGGACGGATACTCTCCCTGTTGGATTGGCACCTGCATTAGGAGGGACATGGAGGAGCAGGCATCGGCCTTCCCTGTTGACTGTTTTGCCAGGCATGGGTCTTTTAAGTGGGGCTATCAGGTACATCCCCCCCCCAGGTGCTTCAAGGCAGCCAGGCAGCTCTCCCCCCCCCCCGGACCCCATATCGAGACCTTCCTCTCCTCTCTCTCCTTCACGTCTGTTCCGGCAGCAACTGGGGAGGCCACTTCTTCAGCTGCACCGGGGCCATCTGTTCCTGCAGGGAAAAGGTTCTGCCATCACATGTCATCACTCAGCACCCAGGTCAGCCGCCCTTCCCACCTGCTGCAGTTGGAGGGGGGGGCAAGCCAACTTGTGCATCAGGCAGGACAGTGCTGGGCAGTGTTCCCTCTAAGCTGAGTTAGTGTGAGCCAGCTCACAGTTTTTTAGCCTCCAGCTCACACATTTTTGTCTCAGCTCAGGAAGGATGGCTCCAGAGCAAACTAATTTATGCAGTAGCCACGTCACCCACTCATAACTTTAATGCCAGCAGCTCACAAAGTAGGATATTTGCTCACAGGACTCAACAGCTAGAGGAACATTGGTGCTGGGGTGTCCCCTTCGGCCAACTGCCCTGGGGTCCTTCCTGCAGAAGGTCCCAGGTTCGACCCCCATCACCCCCAGTCAAAAGGAACCAGCCGTAGGTGACGTGAATGGCCTCTGCCTGAGACCCGGAGAGTCACTGCCCATCCGAGTACACAACACTGATCTTGTCAGACCGACGAGCCGACTCAGTATAATGCAGCTTCGTGTGTTTGATTGCCAAGGGGAAGTGTTGTGTCTCAGACAGTGCGGAGCGCCTGCCTCGCACGCAGAAGGTACCAGGTTCAGTCCCTGATGTCTCCAATGGAAAGAATCGGATCGCACGACATGATGTGAAAGAACTGTGCCTGAGCTGTTCTCAGACGTATTAGTTCCCCCTGCTCAGAATCACAACAGAGAATCACAGCTGTTCCACATTAGAATAAATACCTATTTCTTTTTTTTCTTTTTTTTAAACACCTTAAAAAGTACTTATCAAAGATAAATATGGAAAAACAAAAACAATTCAGTTCAGGATTGTATTTTGAACAAAATGCCAAAAAAAAAAAAACAACCATTAGTTCTACTGAAGTTTTACACCCCGGAAGAGAGCAATTGAATGGTTTCTAATATAATTGCAGAAATCCGTGAAGCTCTGGAGTGTTTTTAATCTAGTTGTTAACAGGCATGCAAATAAAGATAGCTGGCATGAAACTTTGAGAATTAAAATTGTGGTATTTTTTTGTGTTTGCGGAGTGGAATTGTAACATTATTATATTTCCCGTGCTATTTGTAAACTATTTTTGTGAGGCTTTGGAATTCTGAAATGTTTTCTAAAGATTTTTTTTTTTTTTAATAATGCCATAGGATAAAATTCAGAAGTATTCAAAAATGCCACCCTGAAAACATATCATGCAAGCCGTTAGTGTTAAATGTAAAGGAAAAGATAGAAACAGCCTGTTATTACATTCGTTGGCGATAAGGTACTAGGTGAATTCCCCAAGTACTTGAAATTGAATCTTCAGTGATCACTTCCAAATTTTGCTTAAACCTTACTTTAGGTAAACTAGTAAAATGTGGTTTACACTAATTTCTGACTAAACTCAACTCACAGGACAATCCTAAGAACAGGATTGATAGATGCTAAGAATACATGACTGAGGCAGACTCGGGTATAGACAAACAGGTATGGCAGTCCTGTGACGTCTAGTTTTGCTCCCAGAGTACCCAGGGACTTTTTAATGGGAAACAGAAGCAACCACTGTGTCAAACCTCACTCTGCTCTGTTTGCCATAAAGGTTGGGGGGAGGGAAATTCCTGAGGGGAGGGGAGCGAACGCTGTGTGTGCGAACCTTTCACTTCTAGAGGCTGTGACTTTCCTGAAGACGCCTTCCTCCCAGAGGAATGTCCTTGAAGCTTTTGGTGCTAGCTTGTGCTCATAGATAACGGGATCATATATTCCCAAGAAGGGGGAAAGGATGGCAACGGCTAGGCAGGATGACTGTGACGTGTGATTGGTTGGGGGGGGAAAGGGGCCTTGCAGAGGTCGATTCGGGGGGATCGCGGGGGATCGCAGTTCCCCCGGGTGAGGTGCGGAGGGCAGGACACATGACGAAGCCCCGCCCTCTGCTTCCGGCCGCCCCGCTTCCGGCCCTCATTCAGCCAGGAGGAGGCAGGAGAAGAGGGGGGGTAAGTTGCTTCCTCCCCGCCTCTCCCCACCCCTGCCTGCCTGGGGCCAGGGAGGGCCTTGGCGGGGCTTCCTCGCACTCCCGCCGGCCTTGCAGGTCCACGGCCGGGCCCCTGATGTCAGGGGGCGTGGCATATGCTAATGAGTTATGCTAATGAGTTCCCCTAGCTCTTTTTCTACGAAACGACCCCTGGGGCCTTGTTTGAATTACCTATATCTGTTCAGGTAGCCGCCAAAATGGTTAGTTCTAACACAGTGCTGTTCTGATCTGGATTATGCATATCTCTCAATAAACAAAACACTGCCAAAGAGAGTGTTGTTGAGAGTAACTTGACCAGGAGTCTGACACACTGCCAAAGTCTGATCCTCGTTCTGGGTCTGGGAGCTATGAGCCTCGGCTCAGAAAACATATTCCCTAGACAAACTGTAAAATTAGACTGTTAAGCAACTATTTTTTTGGCATGAGATAATTGTTCCTTCCTTTATTCTGATGCCAGTCCCTCTTTTGACTCTCCTATTGTCTGATGTTTTGCCATATCTGCATTGGGTTGGTCTATAGCCACCTCCTCCTGTCTTCTGTACCCGATATCCCATGCCTTAAATGAGCCCCAGTCTCCCCCCCCCGCCATGTCCCAGCGATTCCACTTCACTCGTAGTGCAGGGGCACAGTCTTTCTGCATATGGGATCTTTTTATATCTCTCTTCTGTCTTGCTCCTGCAGAGTGCAGGAGGTTGGACTAGATGACCTGCAAGGTCCCTTCCAACTCTAACATTCTGTGATTCTAGTGCCATTGACAGCATAGCCACACATCTAGCCAGGGTAAATGCTCTCCTATAAGGGGGAACTGGCTAACATATTGGGCCATGGTCATAACATGTCTAAGCTTCATGGGAGCCTTAAAGTTTAGAGATTTCGTTCAATCTTGTTGGTGCTCTAAGTCTCGAATCCTTTGTTTAATAATGCACTTCACCTGATCACTATTCTGAATCCAAAGGGCACAGGGCGAAAGTCTCAACTGCTCTCAACCATTCACATCCACCTTGGCTTGTGGAGGTCTTGGGTTATTACCGGAAGGAGGCCCTTTTGATTTGTGTGAACCTTAAGAAGAAGAAGTAGAAGAGATTGGATTTATACCCCGCCCTTCACTACCCAAAGGAGTCTCAGAGCTGCTTACAAACTCCTTTCCCCTCCCCTCCCAACAACAGACACCCTGTGCAACGTTCCCTCTAAGCCGTGGAGTCTTGTGAGCAAAAATTCCACTTTGTGAGCGACTGGCATCAAAGTTGTGAGCGAGCGACTTGGCTACTGCATAAATTAGGTTACTCTGGAGCCCTCCTTCATGAGCTAAGACAAAAATGTGTGAGCCAGAGGCTAAAAAACTGTGAGCTAGCTCACACTAACTCAGCTTAGAGGGAACACTGCCTGTGAGGTAGGTGGGGCTGAGAGAGCTCTGACAGAAACTGCTCTTTTTCAAGAACAGCTGTGCCAGAACAATGGCTTCCCCAAGGTCATCCAGCAGGTGCAAAGTGAGGAGTGGGGAATCACTCTATGGCATTGGACCATGCTGAGGCCCTTCCCCTCCCTAAACCCCACCCTCTCCTGGCTCCACCCCCAAAGTCTCCATCCCAGACCTGGCAACCCTACCACGGATCCTGAAGGGGTTTTTTATCATTTTCTGGGTGTGGAGCAGGGGGTCACTGGGGTGGGCATGGGGGGAGGTATTGGTGAATTTCCTGCATTGTGCAGGGGGTTGGACTAAATGACCCTGGAGGTCCCTTCCAACTCTGTGATTCTAAATGAGGTTGATAGATGCAGATTTTGCCAAAGCTAAATTCCAAATGAAATTGTGGGATAAACACTGGGAATGGAAGAGGACATAGGCCTACTCGGGTGGCCGAATGGACTGTGGCTTTTTTGGGCTGAGCGGGACGGTTCCATCAGATCATCCCAGAGGAGAATCAAGAGGGCACCAATTACCCCCGAATGCGCAAAAAAACCCAGCTTTCTTTGCAATAACCTGTCATTCCCATAACTTCTCTCCACCACCCCCAAGTCCTCAAACTGATTGTCATTGTCTGTAACCGCAGAGATGGCAGATATACAGCAGGCTGGGAGATCAGATGGTTTCCCCTTGTGGCTTCAACGGTCACTAACCGGTTGATAAAATATGAAGATGGGAGCAAGACAGATCGTGTTGCAACAGCTTTCGAAGAGCACCAAAGGGGAAGGTGACAGAAATGGAGCAGCCCCCAAGTCTGGGCTTCTTCTTCCTTGCACTCTTGGCTGCCCAGGTGGGCTCTGGTGGTGAGTAGCAGATTCCTGGCTGTAATGGATGTAATGGCTCCCATTTTGACCCTGTGTTGTTCTACATACAATATATCAATAGCTTTCTAAAAGGGCAAAGTAGGGTGAAACTGGGCCAGAGTATCTCAGTGTGCAGAGGCAGTCTACCTCGGGGTACCAGAATATCAGGGAAAAGCTAGTGCCTCCACCCCGGCTTCTGGACTGCTTAAGAGGCATCTGGTGGCCACTGTTGGAGAAAGCTGCACCAGATCGATTTTTTAATCTGATCCAGTGTGCCTGGTGTCTCGCTCGGCAAAGGTTGGGTGGGTGAACCAAGCCATTCTGCAAAGGGGAGAAAGGCCACAGCATATTTATATCATTTTCCAGAGCCAGTTATTTTGTTGCTCGTAATGCACAATTTTATTGATGGAATTCTTTAGCGCATCTAGAGGTGGAGCACACAACAGTTTGAGGGCTTAAAAAAAGGGCGCTCATTTGTGCAAGCTGTTTTCAGAAGACAAATTCAAGAAATGCCAAATGGAGCTTTGTTTGTTGTAAGCAGCCGACCTCCAGCTGCTGGGAACATGGATAATGCAAAATACCTTGCCTGCGAGTTTCCCAAGGCTTTCCCAAGGGGGCTCCCTTGTGGCCCCTTTTGTCCAGCCATAGTTGCACGATGGTGTAGTGGTTAGATATGGAAAGTAAAGGTAAAGGTTTCCTTTGCTCGGTCTGTAGCTCAGCGTCTTAACCTGTGAGCCACCGCACCCCCTAGATATGGGAAAACCAGGTTCAAATTCCCACTCCGCTATGAAGTTCACTGGATGATCTTGAGCAAGTCTCAGCCTGAACTCCCTCACAGGGTTGTTCAGAGAATAAAGCTAAGAGGAGCAGAAAACCACATGTACATTACTCTGAGCTTCTCAAAAGAAGGGTGGGGTAAAAAGGTATTCGATAGATATGAATGGCTTTAGTCTGATCCAGGACCAATGTTCCCTCTAAGCTGAGTTAGTGTGAGCTAGCTCACACTAACTCAGCTTAGAGGGAACACTGTCCAGGACATGAAGGTCCTAATGAACTGGTCTTGCTCCAAACAAAACATGACCTATGCTTTCAAGAGGGGCCAACCATTCAGTCATGTATTCCAGGCACTCTACGCAGCCGGATCGTTGGCGGGCACGAAGCCCCACCACACTCTCGACCCTATGCAGCAGCTCTGAAAGTGGGTGGATATTTTAACTGCGGGGGCTTCCTGGTGGCCCCTCAGTGGGTAATGACCGCAGCTCACTGCAACGGGTGAGTCGTCTTGTGGAGTCCAAGTAATAGTCAACATCTGGATGGGATGCGGCCTGGGAAAGGGGGAAAGGACTGAAAGAGGGTGCACATTGAAGGTTCCAGTGTGCATCATGAATGTGCCCCAGGTGGTAGCACACTAAATTATCCCTTAGCATGTTCTGAGCCACGGCTAGTGAATTTGGTCCAAATCAGCTTTTTGTCTTCCTGTTATTTCCCCCCAAGAGACATCCTTGTCATTCTGGGAGCTCATGACCTGAACGCTGTAGAAGATACCCAGCAAGTGTTCAGGGTTGAAAGCACTCATGAACATCCAGACTACAAGATACATTATGGATTGCCTTACAATGACATCCTTCTCCTGAAGGTAAGTGGAAAGGTCGCCAGCAGGCACTCCCCCCAACACACACACCCAGAGCATTCTGCAGCATGACATATTCTGCATTTCTCAGTTCTGGGGATCCTTTACAGGGTCAACCCTGGTCCCTGTAAGACTCCTGGCCATGTTACTCTCAACAACACTCTCTTTGGCAGTGATTTGTTCATTGAGATATGGAAGAAGAAGAGGGATTGGATTTATACCCCGCCCTTCATTCAGAGTCTCAGAGTGGCTTACAGACTCCTTTCCCTTTCCCTCCCCACAACAGACACCCTGTGAGGTAGATGGGGCTGAGAGAGCTCTTTCAAGAACTGCTCTTTCAGGAACAGCTCTGGCAGAACTATGGCTTGTCCAAGGTCATCCAGCAGCTGTGAGTGGAAGAGTGGGGAATCAAACCCGGTTCTTCTAGATTAGAGTCCGCACACTTAACCACTACACCAAAACACTACACCAGGTCATAACCGTACTGTGTCAGAACTTAGAATTTTGACGGGGAGACTTACACATCCATTCCCGCCTAGCTGCTGTGTTCCCTACCCCCCCCCCTTTCACCTGGGAAATATACATTATCTACACAAGCAAGCTGGCACCAAAAGTTTCAAGGATGTTCCTCTGGGAGAGAGGAAGGCTTCGTCTTCGAGAAAAGTTACTGCCTCTAAGATAGCACAGGTCACACACTCCACACTCACTCCCTTCCCCCTAGGAATTCCCTCACCCTCCATTCATGGCAAACTGAGCAGAGCGAGGTCTGACAGTCCCTTGCAGGGAGCGACTCCTGAAGAAATCATCCCCTCTTATAATATTACCTTATTTGCAAAAACTCCGGCGGGGGAAGCAGAGTGTTAGAGTTCAAGAGAATTACTTTTATTTGTGAAAAGGGGTAAACTTTGCCAGTTTAAACTGGGGTGGAAGTGGAGGCACATTAGAGGCTTGATCGTCTCAGTGGATTCATGAAGCAGTTTACAGATTCCAAAGCAGATCCGTCATCTTTTCCCTTCTGCCCTGACTCCAGGCACTGCAGAAGGCGCCACAAAGGAACCATGAGCTTGCCAGGAGACATGCGTGCCCTTAAATAGAAGGTCGCACAGGAGGCTGCACGGTGTCTCCCTGAATGAGCCACTTTCCTGACATTTCTGCCTTCCAACCAATTCCTGTTTCTCCCACTTCTCTGCTTCAGGAGTGGTTTAGTCTTCCGATTACTCCCGAAACAGAGTGAAAACACACGTTCCTGTTTGGAGAAGAGGTCACCTGTAGCTTTCCTGCATGCCAGGGTCCCTTCCCTCCTTCAGCTCGCTAAAGCCACTCCACCAGCGGATCACACAGAAGATGGGCTAATGAGAGCAGGTAATTTCCAGCACAAAGGTTCTCCTTTCTGTTTCCTTGCTGGCAGCTGGACCGTGAAGCCAAGCTCAACAAGTACGTCCAAGTCATTCCTTTACCAAAGACCGAAAACGATCTCCCCAAAGAGACAGAATGTATCGTGGCTGGCTGGGGACGCATCGATGACCGGCAGGGAGGCTCATCAAAGCTTTTTGTGACCAACGTCACGCTCCCTGGCCGCAGGAAGTGCCTGCTGTACCTCCCAGAACTCACCGACGGGATGGTTTGCGCAGGAAGCACCTCCAAGATCTGCGACGTCAGCAATGTGAGTGCCGCCATCTTGGTTCTTTCCCCCAATGGGTAGAGCTTAACAACTCCTTGGGGAGGTTTGGAGATGTGACCAGTTATTTGAATAGGTTCTTGGGCGTCTCTGCAACATCCCTTGACATTAAAGTGGTGCAGGGACAAGGTCTGTAGGATTCCACTGTATGAATTTATACAATGGAGTTGTGACTTTCCATTTGCAAAATGGGCTGAGATGCTCCTATGTTGTCTCCCCCACCTATGCCTTATCAGGTGTTGAAATGGCCACATCCAACCCAGGCCCTCTTGGCATTTTAAAATGACATTAAAATGGCAGGAGTGTCCTCATGGCTACCAGCACTTGTGGAAACAATATGGGACAGAGATCAGTTTGGTGGAACACAGATTTGGTTGTACAAGTTTATACAACAGAGTTGTGACCTTCCAACTGGAAAGCTATTTGTCTGAAAGTGGCCCATTTCATATCTTTCTCTGGGCTGTACCATTTCAGATCTCAGAGGGGGAATCACAGAATGGAATGGAGCCCTGCAGTGGGAACAGTTCCCTGCATGCAGAAAACTAGCAGTTCAGGGAGAAGTCTGCATTAGAATCTTTCTTAAGGGCTTTTCATTTTTTTTTAATGATTGGATTTTGCCTTCCACCTTGACAGCCCCTTCCACTCTCCTCACCAGTATGAGCCAGTAGAGTCAAAATATAAGCTTGGCATCTTAGTGAGGAGTAGACATACGTACTTCACCAACCCAAGTTTTAATTTTTGCAAATGTAAATTATTGTATTGGTTTCTTATATTCAAATGCTTCTTGTCATTCAAAGTTTGCTAAACAATTTGTCCGACAATAATTAAAATCCACGCCAATGGGAGAAGGGGGCTCCTCAGGGGGAGCTAGAATTCCCTTCCGTATTGCTGCTATCCCTGATGTAATTTAGATAAGTGGGACTGCGTGAGCTGTTAAATCAGAGAGAAGACTTTTCTGCTGACATTGAAACCTGTCTTTTAAAATATACTTTATTGCGTTTTCTCATAGTAAGCATAACAAGATGAGACAATGTAATACAGTACAATAACACAGATACATCAATAGTCAATAAATTAACCAAAACACATGAAGGCTAATCTAGATACACAGGGGTCGTTTCGTAGAAAAAGAGCTAGGGGAACTCATTAGCATAAGTCATTAGCATATGCCACACCCCCTGACATCACCGGAAGTGTGTCATAAGGCCACACCCCCTGACATTACCGGAAGTGTGTCATAAGGCCATACCCCCCGCCCCCAACGGTCCCGGCCGCTGCTGCCGGCCTTGCAGCTCCACTGCCGAGCCCCATGAGGGGCCCGGCGCTGGACCTGCAAGGTCAGCAGGAGTGCAAGGAAGCCCCACGAAGGCCCTCCCTGGCCCCAGGCAGGCAGGGGTGGGGAGAGGCAGGGAGGAAGCAACTTACCCTCCCTCTTCTCCTGCCTCCTCCTGGCTGAATGAGGGCCGGAAGCGGGGCAGCCGGAAGCAGGGGGCGGGGCTTCATCATGTGCCCCGCCCCACATACCTCACCCGGGGGAACTGCGTTCCCCCGCGTTCCCCCCCGAAATGACCTCTGTTCCTGGCTGAATGAGAGCCGGAAGCGGGGCGGCCGGAAGCAGGGTGCGGGGCTTCGTCATGTGCCCTGCCCCCCGAACCTCACCCGGGGGAACTGCGATCCCCCGCGATCCCCCCCCGAAATGACCAATAAGCAGTGAGTAAACCATATTTGCCCTGTTTCCTTTTCTCCATTTTAATCTGGATATTAAAAAGACTGAAAGATCTTTCAAAAGAGTTCATGCTGCTCCTATGCTGGGATACTTTTATACCCCTGGGGAATCTCTTTTTTCTTTTTCTTTTTTTTTTGCAATCAGCTGCAGCGGAATCAATACCAGGGTTCCAGCTTTATGAACACTATTTGACAAGGGTGTGATCATAAAGCTATCATAGGTAAAGGTAAAGGTTCCCTGGCTCGAAAGTCAGTCGAATCCGACTCTAGGGTTGCGGTGCTCATCTCTGTTTCCAAGCCGAAGAGCCAGCACTGTCCGAAGACGTTTCCGTGATCATGTGGCCGGCATGACTAAACGCTGTTACCTTCCCACTGAAGTGGTACCTATTTATCTACTTGCAATTCCTTGCTTTCAAACAGCTAGGTTGGCAGGAGCTGGAACTAGAGACGGGAGCTCACTCCGTCATGCGGTGCACTCGGGTCTGGAACTGCTGAACTACTGGCCTTCCACAGCCTGCAGTTCAACGTCTTAACCACTTGAGCCACCGCAGCTCCTAAAGCTATTATAGTCAGTTAGAATGTGAGACTTGGACAAAGTTCAACCCCCACTCAGCTCCAAATCTCACTGTGTGACCTGTGGCCAGTCACACTCTCTCAGTCTAACTTACCTCACCTGTTTGCTGTGAGGATCCAGACAGGGAAGCAAGAATCGTGGTATGTTGCTCAGCGTTCCACGGAGAAAGGGCGAAAGCAAAGTGCACTAGATAGAGAGATGTCCTCCTGGATGCCGTCACTGAATCACCCAGAGAGGCAACAGGCACCCAGCTCAAGGGAAACAGTTCTTCTGCATGAGGTGTGACAGATCACAGAATCATAGAGCTGGAAGGGACCACCAGGGTCATCTAGTCCAACCCCCTGCACAATGCAGGAAATTCACAACTACCTCCCCCACCACACCCGCAGTGTTCCATGACCAGAAGATGACAAAAAAAACCCTCCAGGATCCCTGGCCCCAAAGTGCTTCCTGGTCCCAAAGTGGCGATCAGCATTCCTCTGGGCGTGTAAGAAAGGCCCACAGGAACTAAGCACTGAGGCAACCCTTCCTGCCCCCCCCCCATGATCTGCCTAAGTTCACAGAATCAGCAGTGCTGTCAGAGGGCCATCTAGCCTCTGCTGAAAAATCTCCAAAGAAGGAGAGCTCACCACTCAAAGGAAGCCTGTTCCACTGAGGTATCGCTCTGTCAGGAAGTTCTCCCTAATGTTTAGCCGGAAACTCTTCTGATTTAATTTGAATCATTCACTCCCATTTCTAATATGCGCCAAAATTGTCTGCTTGTGAAGCTGAACGGATGGGATGGTGGTCACACTGGAGCACACTGGGACCGATCTCACACAAGAGCTTACACGGGGAAAATCGGGAGAAGCTGCGGGTCAAAATGCGGCCGCGTGGCTTCAAGTGGGAAATTGACAAATAGAAGTGGGGCAAAGGGAGGCGCGACCGTCCGCGGCGCAAGCTTTTGTGTGAGATCGGTCTGGAAGTTGCTTTCCTCTTTGGGTATATCCTTTGGGAAGACAAGAACAATTGATTACCTAACCTTTCTTCTGTGGCACACAGACACCATTAACAGAATTCTGCAAGCATCAAGATTTGTTTAGGGATTTCAGCTGATGGAAGTTCCCCTGTCAAACCAAGGTGATTTTGTGGGTTTGTCTGATATTCTTTATTTTCTCAGGGGGATTCTGGAAGCGCTCTGCTCTGCAACGGGGCTGCGCATGGGGTTGTCTCCTTTGGCTTCCAAGTGCCACCATCGGTTTACACCCGCGTCGCTGCCTACCTTCCTTGGATCAGAAAGGTTATGGGAAGAGTCCAGGAAAGGCAAAAACCCCCTG